TCTTCGGGTTATTGGAAAGTAAGATAAGTGATATTGGAAATTATCCCATCTTGATGGTGGGCGATTTTAACTTGGTCATGGACGGAGTGCTGGATCGAAGCACCTCGTCTCAGTGGCGCTCCAAATCCGCTTCTGCCCATTTGAAACAGTACCGGTCCCTGGCCCTGGTGGATGTCTGGAAAATATTTAATCCTACCGCAAGAGATTACACCTTTTAACCCCCCCCCCCACCACCACCACCACCATCACCCCTGGTCAAGAATTGGGTTAATGTCGAACTTCCTAATCTCTTCCGTAATGGCTAGCTCAATCGGTAACATACTTCTTTCGGACCATGCGCATGTGCTTTTCCATTTATGTCCCTTCATCAACTCTCCCAGGTGGAGACTTAATTCGAGTCTTCTTCACAATTCTAAATTTCGGCATTCTCTTAGAGACCAGATTGGGTTCTACATAGAAACTAACGTTGCTACAGCTCCTTCTGCTGGTGTAGCTTGGGAAGCTTTTAAAACTTTTATTAGAGGGTACATTATCCAGCATGCCTCATATAAGAAAAAATCTGATGCTGTTAAGCAGCTAAATTTGGAGAGGAAAATAGCCATAGCCGAATCTGCTTTAAAAGCGGATACAAGAACTACAAATTTTACTCACTTAACAAGGCTCAAATGTGAACTTAACAAAATCCTGAGTCAAAAAGCTGAATTCTTCCAGTTTCGAGCCAGACACACGCAATTCGAGGAAGGAGACAAACCAGGTAAATTTCTAGCCAGATACATAAAACAAAAGGAAGTCATGACTGCCATCCCAGCAATTAAAAGGCAGGATAATACTTTAATATTGAAACCTACTGATAATAACTAAACATTTAGGAAATGTTTTATACATCTTTATTCTTCTGAATCACAGGCCTCTATACAGGCTACAAATACTTTTCTCCTGCCCTTGAATCTCACAACCCTCTCAAGAGAGTAGTGTGACCTGTTGGAGGCGCCCATCTCACATGAAGAAATTTTATCAGTAATCAAAAATCTCCCATCAGACAAGGCTCAGATGGGTTCAAAATGGAGTTTTATAAGGCCTTCAGTGAGGAACTCCTCCCTCTGCTTTATTGAGGCTTGCAAAAGGGGAAGTCTGCAGCTGACACTGTCTGAAGGACTAATTTCTCTTGTTTTAAAAAGAATAAAGATCCTCTAGACTGCAACAGCTACAGGCCAGTCACTCAACTTACTGTAATTGTGACTGCAAAATCTTGGCCAAGTTACTAGCAAAGAGATTAGACAAGGTCATGACCACCCTTGTTCACCCGGACCAGGTGGGATTTATTGGATCTCGCAGCTCCACCGCCAATACTAGGCGCTTAATTGATATTATATGGTCAGCCCAAAATGCCGCCCCAACGACCGACTTCTCTCCAGCAATCGCCCTGTCCCTGGACGCAGAGAAGGCGTTTGACAGGGTGGAGTGGCGCTTTCTCTTCCGGGTGCTGGAGGTTTTGGGCTTTAGCCCTAAATGTATTAGATGGTTTAGACTCCTCTATACTAATCCGAGGGCTTCAATACTTACGAATGGCATCATATCGCAGCCCTTTTCGATACAGAGGGGGCACAAGATAGGGGTGCCCTCTGCTCTTTGCGCTTGAACCGGAGCCCCTGGCAGCTACAATACGTAGCGATCGGGACTTCACAGGTATACAATTTAAAAATGTCACTCACAAACTAATGTTATATTCTGACGATGCTTTACTCTTCATATCTCAACCAGAATGCTCACTCCTTGCTCTCTTGTGAATCATTAAGGAGTTTTCCTACATCTCGGGTTACAGAGTAAACTGGTAAAAATCCGAAGCACTCCACTTGACGGCCTTCTGTCCTAAAACTCTTCCACTCAGGGGAATTCAGCTGGTCTAGCTACGATATCAAATACTTAGGTATTTTAATTCCTTCTGCTTTATCAAACCTGGTAAAGGTAAATTTTGAACCCCTTCTGGACAGATTCAAAACAGACATAAATCGATGGTCTCCTCTATTCTCGTCCAGCTAAGGAAAAGTTAATATAATTAAAATGAGCTGTGCACCTAAATTTAATTACTTGCTGCATGTTCTCCTGGTGAAGATCCATCTTAAGTTCTTTCAACAATTTTATAGTCTATGCAGTCAATTTATATGGAACAGTAGACGTCCCAGAATTAAGCTACAAAAACTGCAGCGCCCAGCGGAACATGGTGGACTGGGGCTTCCCAATATTTTGTTATATTATTATGCTTATGGATTGAGGCACATGATTCATTGGGCCTTACCGCCTGAATGAAAGGAATCCACGTAGTCGGAGACCTATATGAGGAAGGACAACTGAAATCGTTTAACATGCTCAAAACTCAATTTCAGTTGCCACATAGCCAGTTTTGGAAATAACTTCAGCACCGCCACCTAATGCTGCAGATGTTGGGCTCTGCCACCTCACCTCCCGCATCTTACTCTTGTACGGAGGTGTTTCGGGAGAGGCCGGGAAGTCTCTAAATACTACTCCTTGCTCCTTAAGGGCACGGACGGGGGGCTTCCTGACCTTCGCGCTGCCTGGGAAAAGGATCTTGAGGTTCAATTCACCAACCACGAGTGGTCCAAAATTCTTCTGAATACCAAAGGGTGTCCAGAGAACTTAGAACAAGACTAACCCAGTTTAACTTATTGCATCGAATAAACTGGACACCACTTACACTACACAGGGCAAAACTCTCTCATTCTCTGGAGTGCTGGAGATGTCGGGGTGAGGTGAGAACACTGACACATATGGTCCTGAGCTGCCCCAAAATTTGCAGATTTTGGGAGGAAATCCAGAATTTTGTTAACTCAGTTGTGCAGCAGGAAATTCCATCATCAGCTAGGCTATTCATTTTAGAGGATCCATCGCCCCTTAAACAGTGGCAGTGCCAGGGGGGCGCTATAGCTACCCCTGGATTAGTCATTGCACCCCCATAGCAACCCCAAGTAAATATTAGATTTATTTTTTTACAATTTAATTTTAATTTAACGTGTGGATGTGATAATATTTAACATACAAAACAAAAATAATCAGTAAATTATCATATAGATAGTAAAAACTTCAACCAAAACAGGAAATTGATGTTAACCTTTGACCTCATTTTCCACCTGCGAACGAGTGAAAGGTAGAGCTAGTGGTAAAATGGATCGGTTTTTGTTGCCCAAATTTCCACAGGTTCAGTCAGAAATGAATGAATCTTTGGAAGTGATCTCAGACCCACAAAAACCTACGGATCTGGATAAAGAGAGTCAACCCTCAACCGCCGCAGCAGTCGAGGGTTTTGCCGCTGGAAATGCTAACACTAATATTAGCTAACCTTGCAACACTATAGATGGTTTTCTGTGTGGCTGTATGTGTTTATGATTTCATGGAAAAGTCAGCGATTGTATCATATGTTACTTCTTTTTCAGTGTGCATGCCTTTAGCTCTTTAATTTTTGATAGTCTGTATTATTTTCGGTTCCACTGTATCAAAAGACAAAAGCTCGATAAAACGTTAATCAAAAAAAAAAGATGGGGATGTAATAATCTGATGCTGATAATTTTTAATGTATGTAGAGCTAGGACAGGGAGGGAGCGGCCATGAGACCGTCCCCCTGGAAGATGATGCATGTAAGTAAAATTCTTTATGTACAGTGTGTCAGATTTATGGTTGTTGTCGTTTACTAAAGTCAAAGTTTATTGCGAAGGCCGTAAACATTTTGGGTATGCAGTAAGATTGGCACGTGGTTAAAAAAACATATTTATGAGGTGGAATGTTCTACTTTGTCTACTGGTTAGGGTTTCTTTGGTAATGTGGATGGATGGATGGATGGATGGATGGATGGATGGATGGATGGATGGATGGATGGATGGATGGATGGATGGATGGATGGATGGATGGATGGATGGATGGATGGATGGATGGATGGATGGATGGATGGATGGATGGATGGATGGATGGATGGATGGATGGATGGATGGATGGATGGATGGATGGATGGATGGTGTTATATAGTTGCATAAAGGGAAAGAGGTATTTTATTGGTAGAACTGTAACAATCAAGCATGATGTCAATAGCTTTATTTATTCTTTATTTAAAGATGTTTTTATTTCTTTATTTAAAGAATAATTTATGTCTAACATGTTTTGAACTTATTGCAAATGTTAAAAGAACAGAATCAACATGAAATAGCTGCTTGGAGTTAAGTGTGGCTCCTAATAGAATGAGAAAACACTAGACTCTTAGTGCACTCCTTTCTTTATTTAAGCCTGTGTGGACAGTAGCTGCCAACATTCACCTCCTCTTAAAATAAAGCCACCCCTGATTAGACACCTAAACACAGTAAAATGGGGTGTAACATAAGACAAAAAGGATTTCTCCAGCAGCCTTGAACCTTTTTTAGATGTTGGTCCGACTGTCTCCAACATTCCTTCAATACATTTTAGTTGTACTGTTATTCCAAGATTTAACTAAAATAGCTAAAACATGGGCCTGTCTTATAATTTGGTACTTTGCCCTAGATTTCCAAACTTTATCCACCAAACATCATCATCATTATTTCCACTTCAGTTCACTAAATCAATTCAGGCCATTGAGAAACTGCTTCTTGTGTTAATTGAGGTTAGCAAAATGATTACTTTGTACTAATTATTAAGAATTGATTACAGATTAATATGAAAATTAGTTTGTGATTTAATGACTGCATTTGACCCAACCTGCACAAACGTTTCCTGCTTTTAGACTTTTCCTGTGTAATGTTGAAGTAACGAGCTCGTGTTCAGGTCATCAAGCCTGATGATGCTTTAAAGTAAACCAACAATGTTTTAAACACATTCGTGTAAACTTTAGACTGAACCAAAATTCCATCCTTGTTTATGTGACTTTTTCATTTATGAGCTCTTTAACCTGCTCTGTGACCCACCCTTCACTCACCCACCCCCCACTTCACCGCCCACCCAACTGCCAATGTCTCAGGAGACATCACTAACACGAAAAAGCCTAAACAGCTTTTGGCAGTCGCTGGGTCTCAGCAGAAGAGAAGCATCAAGCATCACAGACTTGCATGCTGCTGTGAGGATCTATTACAGAGAAAAAATTAGGAGAGTGGCCATACTCCTGTCTGAAAGGAAGGAGAGCTGAGAGCACTGAGGACTGGGTGCAGGTAGGTGGCCCTCCACATGAAGGCTAGATGAGGGAAAAAAGAGAAAATACAGAGCAGGAAAAAAGAAAAATATTTCATTTTTAATTCTGCTATCATAAACTATATAAATCCAATGTTTGCCATCATGGTTTCAGCAAAAAGTGAGCAATAAATAAGCAAATTAAAAGAAATCCAGTTGCAGATGGAACTGAATGATTAAAGCTATCTGTCATAATGCAACTTAATTAGAGATTAGTGAAATTATCTGGCATACAGGTTTAGCTGCTCAAATTACACAGCAACCCAACACATAAAACATTACATAGGATTTAATCATGAACAGGACATACATTTGGTAATGGTGCATGAAATTCTGCCTTCTCAGTTTTAATTTACCACTTAAAAATCTGGGAATCGGGATCATAGTCTTGTTTGGAGCTGCGAGGCGTTCGGCTAATGACTAACTTTAGAAGAAGGTTTCAAATCAATATGTAACCTGAGATTTAGGGAGCTGCGTGGAAGCAGCGGGTTGTAGTCTGACAGAAGATCCATTTGTTTTTTACATTAAAGAACTCCAGGCTGTATTTGTTTACGTTAGCTCTACACATTATGCACATGTGAATGCATGCATGCCCAGAGAATATAGTCTAATAGGAGAGCTGAAAGAAATCTTATAACTCCCAAGTGAGCATTTGTAGTTCTTGCTAGAAATGACAAATGCATGAAATTGTCAGTTCTTTACAGAAAACCCAACACATGACCAAATCCACTGGGAAGTTCCTGTAACACCATTAGTGCTAATTTGACACCAACAGGCCCTGTCATCAAGCCCACTTTTGTGTGAGTTACACTGCTGAAGCTGCTGTCTGTCTTGTACGTTCAGCTGAAACCCGTGTTGTTTGGAAAAAAGCAGCGAGGGACATTTGAGAAGCTACCAGATGCCATTTTCACAGTGTGTGGTCAGTGGTGCAGTCATCTGCAATGGGCTGAAGACTCACTCAGACACGTCACGTAGCACCAAAACATTACACAGATTCAGACTGAGTTCTGCAATGCCTTCAGGATCTTTTCTGCATGTGAGAAGGTTGATGGAAAAGAGAAAAGGCAAAAAAAGTTGAGCGCTTTTAAACACTTTAATCACATGCTTATTCTATATAAATGCACAAATAATCTAGCACCTGTGCCCATTAGTACTTTTTTTAACCAAGACAAAACAGCAATATGGAGCCAAAGTCAGGCCCATCTTCTTCCGGACCATGGGTCCCTGGAAGATTGAAAAAAGTATGCAGGTCAACAGGACTAAAAACGTTTATGTGCCATGGATTTCACTTATGATGTCCGTGAACACATTCTGGTGCCAAAAACGAGTTTATTTTTGAAAGGGGGGGAAAGTTATTTTCAACTCTGTGTAAAAATACATCCAGGACAACAAATGAGCATCACCAAAGTGACGTAATCGAACCAGACACGTAGTCAAGCAGAGGAAGAATGGCTGTAAGTTCAGCAAACTTCAAATGCTTCCCTCAGGAAACTGAACAACCATAAATCTGGCCATGTGGTAAGTAGCAGCTACGCTAGTGGGGAGGAGATTATATGGTGGTGTCATATATGCAACGTACCAACGTCAAGCTTTCACAAGCTGATAAATCTCAAAGCACGTGACAGGCGTGGTCAAAACACCCATCACTACTTTTCATTTCAATTGAAGTACAACATATGTGTGGTCCAGGGCGTAAGGCAAAGCGGATTAGAAAATAGCTCTTTTAGCCCTGTTGACTTGCGTTCATTTTTTCATTCTTCCGGGGACCCATGAGCCAACTGGAAAAGGAGGAGACATGCGCTCCCTAGTGTCACCAGAAGTTCCATAAACAACTGCTAGATCCCACACTGCAGAACTTTGTTCAGTCAGCCTTTTCTTAAGGCACCTAACTGAAGCCCACATCTGAGCTTGCAACGTTAATCTCTACAGTTAACTCTTGGCTGACAGAAAACCAAAATTGAATCTATTTGTAATTTGCACTGGTTTGAAGTTAGACATTGTGTTGTGTGGGTGTAACGATGCAATTTTAATTTGTGTTTTTAATGCTATCTAGAAAAGCTCATTCAGGGACAGGACTTAAAAATTAGCACTAGCTATGCCTTCTAATGGGTAGCTTCAGCCGCCACTAATTGGTACTACGCTGGATTGCAACGTCCCTTAATGATAAATCTGCAAACCAAGCAAGCCTTTAAACACAACATGGTCACATAACTCTCACCTGCCTGTCTGCTATCATTCCTTGGCCACTACCCAAGAACCCGCACTGCCAGAGGAAACGAGATAGCGCTAGACATCAGTCATTGTTTTCTAAGACCAGTGTTGGGCATCTTATGTTTAAAAAGTAATTAGATAATTACAAATTACTTTTCAAAAAGTTACTTAGTTAGTTAGTAACTGAGTTAGTAACTCTGTTACCACACTGTTAAAGTAATTAGTTGCCTAGCAAAGTAACTGATGTTTTATGTTCCATAAAGCAGTTCCGTTCTTTATAACATGAAATTTTTTTCTTAAGAGAATGATTCTTACAATCTAGAAAGTACCTTTCAGATATATAACAATTCATCCAATAAGAATGTTCTCATGGATATCTGGAATGTTAATTTCTACTAGGAACAATAGGATTATAGTGGAATACATAACCAGTCTGCCTAATAAGGCTAATTTAGGATTTTAGGGATTCTGATTGCCTGTACTGCTTTCACTTATCTCCTCACTTTAGTGAACTGCTGTTTGTTTTTCTTTCCTCATCTTTACACATTTGTCCTCACCAATATTTACACACCCAGCACGTCAATGTAATAATTGTCCCACGCATTTTGCTCGCACCACCCTCTCCCTGCTTTATAGCAATCAGGGAGCCGCACAGTCGTTTCCTTGATCTGTAAACAAACACCCTGATGTGTGTTCAGAGCTGTGTTCCTTTTTGTCGTTTGTAACACCGGCTCGGGGCTGGATGTCGGGTGCCGGTTAAGCTGGGGTCACAGTCCGGCTCAAGAGCCGCTTCATGCATGCATCAATGGTGTGGCTGTCAGGCTGCGCTTTGTTAAACCACTTTATAACAAAGAAAATGCACCACTTTACATGTCCAGTAACGGTAATGACATTGCAACGATGAGAACAGTAATTAGTTAGATTTCTCCATAACCTAAAACATAACGCCATGTCGTCCGTGACTTCAAATGATGTTTTTCTTTTTGGGACTCGGGTAGTTTGTCCTAAAGTTTAAGTGGTAGCAGCCGTCTGTTTATCCTTCTCTGATATTAATGTAGGGTTATGTAAATTGAGTACTTTAGGGGCTCAGTACATATATATATATATATATATATATATATATATATATATATATATATATATATATATATATTAACTCTACTTGTGACCAATAAGCTGTGATACTCTATCTAAATATAGAATATCACCCTGCCTGGTCTTTATTGTGTTTAATCAGAAGATTCTAGGATTCTTTATTAATTACGGGGTTGTACACACTTCGTTTTGATTCAGAAAACAGTCAAGTTTGCAAAAGTAAGAATTTATTTTACAAACAATTAAAACTTGACAAATTGGTTAACTATTATTTACTGTGAGTGGATGGAACTAAAAGGTGATGTCTGGAACCTATGTGTGAATGAGATGTTGGTCAGAACCTCCGTATCTCCGAGAGCTGTGTTCTGGATGTAAAAGAGTTTGGTTTGCGTTAAGCTATGAGGTTGATTGTTATCAAAACCCACATCAGACGCAATCTGTGCGTCTACATTACCCGTTTTTAGAGACCCTCTTGGTGGATCCAAAAGTCAGAGAGGTCGGATGACCGCTGGCACCAGAGGGCTGTAGAATGCTGTGGTACCGATCCTTTCAGTCCAGAGATGTCTCGGGTCACGACAGACGGATGGAACCGAGCGTCTGGGACTCTTAAGGAGTCTAAACAATATCAGCTTATTCTGCATGAACTATTTTGTTGTATCAGCTTTGCAGGTGCAAAAAGATTTTGACAACGTGTCAAAATCTTTGGTGGGTTAAAGAGGTGTGCTTCAGGTGGCCGGTCTGAAGCTTCTCTAGAACTAAAGAATCACCAACGTGATCTTGTTTTAATGTTCTCATGTTATGACTGTGTAGCCAACCAAAGGTTGACATGTTTGAGGAATATTACCAAGAATCTCAGAAACACATGCCTTCTTTGATCCGGAGGCTCTGATCTGGGTAAAAGGTTAATTATGTGTCATGGACTAAACTTGACCTTACTTTGTACTAGTGTGAGTGCAAATGTTATGACCTTGTCAAGTAAACATGCTGAAACAATCATTGAGCACAGATTAATGAAACATTTCATTATTTATAATTATTACAAGTAACAATAAACAAATGTTTATTTAATGGTTATCTGGCTTAAGTTTTAGAAGTTCATATTTAATTTTAAAATCTTCTTTCTTCTTTGAAGCGAGGAGTTTAGATAAAAGGGTGCTCTGTGAGGGACCTTGGAAAGAACAGGATGTCAATGTTATGATTCCAGGATGTCAAAAAGCAGTTCAGGATCTTGTGGCTTGTTGGCAGCTAGAATATAAAATCCACCTCACAGGACTGAATTAGGTCTGTAGATGACTGATCACCTGTAGGTCTTCTGTAGGTGAAAACTGACCATTTGTGGACATTACATTAATAAGCAGAGAACCTCTCACACCCGTGGTGTTCTGTTGCAAAAGACACAAGTGTATATTGAGTAGCGGACCCAAGGAGGTGCAGCGGTTCGATGAAACTGACAACCAGATTGTCCAACAGTTGAAAAAGTTGCTAAGTTGGCAACGATGTTGGGAGGTGCACTCGATCTGCAACTCGACCATGAGGGAGGAGCAAATAATCTGCTTGTTTTGGTTTTATAATCGTTCAAAATTCAGATTGTAATTGTGATAAAAATTTGATTAATTAAGCTAAGTTCCAGCTTCAAAACATAGTCCCAGACAGTTAACCTCCTGAGACCTGAACC